TGGCTGGCCTAGACCCAGTATATGAGGGTATAAGGTCACAAATTCTAGGGAGAGATGAATTACCGGAGCTTYACCATGTYTATTACCTGGTGAGGAATGAAGAAGTCAGGAGAAGGGAGATGCAAGTTGACTCCCAGACACAGTCAACTGGACTATCTGGAGAACATTCAGCCCTAGTCTCCACCATGGGAAATAGATATCCAGACAAGAAGTCCCTCAAGTGTACCCATTGTGGTGGTGAGAAACACACAAAGGAGAAATGTTGGGTCTTGTATCCTCATCTGAAGCCAGCTGCTTTGAGAAAGGACACAAGACAACATAAAGGTCACACAGCAAGTGGGAATCTTGCCACCAACAACAGTAGTGACAACTCACAAAGTACTCCGACAGTGTCCTCTTCCTCCACAGGGTAGGCTGCCAACTCCTCTGGACCATAGGGCAGGCTGTCTGAAGAACAATTCTTTAGCTTCCACCTCTCTTGCCAGATCAGGTACAGTCTCTGCCTTTAGTGCAACTAGTTCCATTGATTCCACCTCTTGGGTGATTGATTCCGGAGCAACTGACCATATGACACAATGTCCTCCTTATTCTCTTCATATCATTTGTTGTCTGGCCAGGATAAGATGAGAGTGGTTGATGGGTCTCTCTCCACCATCTCTGGAAAGGGGGTGGTTGACCTAAGCAAGGACCTCTCTCCTAAATCAGTCCTACATGTTCCTAGTCTTACCTCAAATCTTTTGTCTGTTTCAAAGCTTATAAAAAATTTGAACTGCAGTATAACTTTTTTTCCTACTCATTGTGTCTACCAGGACAGATTGACGAGGAGAACGATTGGGAGTGGTCATGAGTATGGGGGCCTCTACTATTTTGATGCAGACATCGGCTCAGCCCTACAAGCTTCTGCTACTACTAGTCCGAAAAGTGTGGAGTCAATAGCTAGGCTGCACTTGTGGCATGCTAGGCTAGGTCATGTGTCTATCTCTTCCTTAGCAATGTTGTTTCCCGAATTGTTTAAGGGAATTCCAAGTCAGAGTTTAATTTGTGATGTGTGTCAAATGTCAAAACAACGTAGATGTATCCAACTTCTAGTAATGAAATTCGAGCTCCTTTTGATTTGGTTCATTCTGATGTTTGGGGACCTTCACCCATTGTTTCCATTGATGGCTTTCGTTACTTTATCAGTTTTATTGACCATTATTCTCGGTGCACATGGATTTATTTGTTAAAAGGACGAGATGAAGTACCAGGGATAACTATGGCTTTTTGCAAGATGATTGAAACACAATTTGATAAGAAGATTAAGCAATTCCGGTCAGACAATGTGGCTGAATACTTTGAAAGATCCCTGAACTCATTCATGGAAGATGCAAGCATGTTACACCAATCATCCTGTGCTAACACCCCTCAGCAAAATGGAGTTGCTGAGCGCAAGAACAGACACCTATTGGAGACAGCTCGAGCCCTACTATTCTAGCACAAATTGCCCAAGCAATATTGGTCTCAAGCTTTACTCACTGCATCATACTTGATAAATCGGATGCCATCTAAGGTATTGGGTATGAAGACTCCTTTCTCTGTTTTGTGTCCCACTCTTCCAGAATTTCTTCTTCCCCCACGGGTTTTTGGTTGTACATGCTTCATACATGTGAAGGATCCAAAGAAAACCAAGCTGGATCCCAAGGCTACAAAGGGAATATTTTTGGGGTACTCTCCTACACAAAAGGGGTACAAGTGTTATGATCCTGTCTCCAAGAAAAAGTATGTCACTAGAGATATAGTCTTTTTTGAGTCTCAACCCTATTTCCAGTCTTCTCAGAATCCTCTTCAGGGTGAGACTAGTGGGTTGGAAGAGGATTCTCATTCTCCTTTCTTTTTTGTTCCCCTTTCATCACCTTCCACTACTCCTAGCTGTGACATTCCGGGTCAACCTAGTGAGGCTCCCACTGTGCCAGTTACTTCTCCCGATACAGCAGATGCTTCTGAAGGTTCCAGTAGGCAAGAGAAAGAGATACTTACATACAACAGAAGGAAGAAGGGCCCTCAACCTCATGATTGCAACCAGTTGAACTCAGATGAATCTGTCTCTACAATCCAAGGTAATTCTGACTCACACACTTCGGATTTGGATCTTCCTATTGCTCTCCRTAAGCCTGTTCGTTCTTGTACCACCCGGCATCCCATAGCTGATTTTGTTTCTTACTCACACTTATCTCCTGCCTATCACTCCTTTGTGTCTATTCTTTCCTCTGTATGTGTCCCTTCCAGGTACTCAGAGGCGGCATCTGATCCAAGGTGGAAAGAAGCCATGAATGAAGAGATGAAAGTCCTATTGAAAGCAAGAACGTGGGAATTAGTGGACCTGCCAGAGGGGAAAGGCACTGTTGGGTGMAAGTGGGTATTCACAGTAAAGCACAGGGAAGATGGGTCAGTYGAGAGGTACAAGGCCAGACTTGTGGCAAAGGGATTTACACAAAAGGAAGGAATTGACTACAAGGAAACCTTTGCCCCAGTAGCAAAGCTCAACACAATGCGGGTTCTACTGTCCCTAGCAGCAAATTTCTCTTGGGAACTCCATCAGCTGGATGTGAAGAATGCCTTCC